GGAGTGGGGGACAAAGCTTGACAGGGCAAGGCTCTCAGCAACTTTATCTAACTCTGTAAACTACTTCTAGCAAGAGGCTGGATTGGATGAGTTCCAGAAGTCCCTAACATTCTAAACCATTCTAGGACTCTAAGAAGCATCACACCACCATACTGTGTAACCACAAAACAAAATGGGAAGGAAGCTAGAAACGGGATGCATATCTGATTCTTTAATATGAAATAAATGTCAGAAGATGTTTTCAATGCTAAATTAGAATATTCAACAGTGTTTGTTAAGTGGTTACTAACTGACTTCCAAAAATGAGTCTGTTAGCATGTGTAACAGTTAAACACTGACCAACAATCAACTAACCTCTAGCACTCTGTGAGATGAGAACTCCACAACCTGTCATTTCGCATACACACAGTTTCTACTAAAAGGTATTAGCTATTGCATGAGGGGGAAGAAAAAAAAGAATTAATGAGAAATTTACAATTATGAAGAACCAATTCACAGACCAAAAGAAAGAACACCTTTTTCCCAAAAAATACATGCCCGGTAGATGTCTGAACCAACGAAAGACTGATGAAGACTGGATTTCCTCAGTTACAACACACCTTCTTCCAAAGATTACTTATAGAATGTCTTCCAAGACAGAAAATTATCACTTGCAATTCCTTCTGAATTTCTATTTACGAAAAAAACTTAAAACTCAGTATCTTTAAAAAAATAAAAGCCTGACATAGAGCATTTTTCTGCTCATTATAAAAAACACAATAGCCACTCAATTTCAGCAGCAATTAAGGCAGATAAAAATTACTGCAATCTTTAATATTAGATACATTAATGAAGGACATTGCTAATAAAAATCCGAAGCTAATAAAAATGGAATATATTGAATTCGAAAACAAACTCCAAGTCCGAAGTCTGAATTCTTAAGTGACCTTTTCACAGGGCTTTCAGATTTGAGAAGAAAAGCGAAAAGTGCTAGACAGCCATGAAAATGGAGCAGCTTTGCATTAAGTAAAACATTTCAGGTTTGTCTCTGAATTAGTCTGCATTTTCCTTTAGAATTATCAGAGAATTGCAATTAAATTTGGTATGTTAGGATATTTTATTATTTCAAGGCTTACCTTAAGAAAACCTCCAGATGACACAAGCATTTTACTGTCAGGAGAAAATGACAGGTCTGTTACCCAGCCACCATGTGTTGGTTCTCCTTCATCTACAGTAACTGGGGAGCAGGAGTGAAGTAATGCACCTGTTAAAACATCCCAAATCTGAAAGAGAGAGAAGATTACGTATATAAGTAAACTTAATGGGGGGGGGAAGCCCAGTAAGGAAAGTTGAAATACATTTTTCTATACTAGAGAAAAAAAACCTTATAAATAAGCATTCTACTTGAAATGACAGAATAATCCAAAACATGAGTTCTCCTTTTAGAACTGTATCATATATGAGGGATTTAATCACAAGTGCAATTCACAGCAGAATTATCAGATCATGTGAATCAGTTTCTCAGCATCCATGGAACATAAGTCTATCAATATAGCTAAAAATTACTGTCTCATGTGGCAAACTTTGCTATTTTCAACTCCCTGATGTTTACCACAATGCTAATGAATTAGACATGTAAAACATAAGCTACGAGAACTCTTCTGTCTGTGAACTGACGATCAATTGAATTATAAAATAAACAGCGAGATTAAAGCAGTACCCTTATTTCTCCTTTGTCATCTCCAGTGGCCAATAACTTGTTATTAGGAGAGAAAGTACAGCACCGCACACAGGCTTCATGACCTTTCAGCTCATGAAGAACAGATGAACTTCCAAAGCTCCATATCTAAACGGAAAACATTACAGAAAAGTGAAAAAGATAAGTTCAAAAACAACCATGACTTCTTTCTGAAAAGGCATTAGTATTCAAAAGTACCTTAGTCTTTTCATATATATGCATATATGTGTGTGCAATTATGTATGTATTATACTGCAGTCTGGTTTTCTTTTTATTATCTGAATCACACAAGAGTGCATTTGCTACAAATTACTGAACCAACTGCCAGTACGGTTTTTTTCCTTGGAATATACTCTTTCAAGAAACTGATTCATTTACAAGAAAGTTTAAAGCTGTTAATAGAAAAAGGATTTAAATCAATTTAAAGTTATATTTTAAAAATCTAATGGGAGACTTAAAAAAATCTAATGGGGCAGTTCCAGAATATCAAACAGTTCACTTCTTTTTGCACCTTGCTTCTGAACAGGAATATCAGAAACTATGGACAGCACTTTTCACTGGAAGTTCCAGAAATGTAGATTTCCAAATCAAGAATGTTAGCTATTAACAAATCAATACAGAGAACTAAACAAAGAGCTCTGTGCAAACTTGTGCATTAAACATGCATTTTATTTGTACAGAAGTCACCAGGACAGCCTCAAGTTATATCCAAGATCAACCATGAATGACTGTAACCGCTTTAGAAACATGTTCACAGATACGGGAAATCTAATACTAGAAATACAATAGGATAACTTAAATAAATACTAGTTACCTCATACTAAAAAATCCACAGCATGCATTTCAGGACAAATAAGGCATAATTTTTATCTTTGTATAGAGAGTAACAAACCTTTGCAGTTTTGTCAGCAGAAGTAGATGAAAATTTACTACCATCAGGGGAAACAGCACAGGAAAGAACAGCACCTCCGTGGCAAGCAAAATCTTTTTCTGTGTTTCCAGTAGTAATATTCCAAACCTACCAAATACACAGGAAAAACAGGCTACTTTTGTAATACTGCAAAAAGGTTGAAAAACCTGCATCTTACATAACAATATATAGGAGATAAAATTCAGCTACACGGTTCTAATATGGCCAACATTTTGCTATACTTGCTGGTATAGTTAAAATACTACAAGATTGTAAATCTTACTAGAAATAGAAAACGCAAAATTGTGTCTTAAAAGTCAGCTTACACTTCAGGATCAATTCAATAAATTGTGTGTCAACACAAAGTCCACGAAATACCAAATGTCAGAAGAGACAGCAAAATGTATTTTATGCTGTTTGTCAATACATAGTCTTTTATTTACCTTAACAGTTCCATCAAATGACCAAGAAAGAAGTTTTGAATTTTCCAGAAGTCTAAAATCCTTGATTGCTTCCTTGTGCCCTCTTAGAAACACACATTCGCTCAACTGCCAATTCCATACCTAATCATGAAGATGGAATACTTTTTAAAAAAAAATTTAATGACAAACATAAGTTAAGAAGAATGAACTGATTGATTTTTAAGTCACAGGAATAATCAAAAGTTCTTATGAGGTGGAAACTAATTAAAAGGTTAGATACTGATGATGTCCATAGTAGAGATGCTGAAGGTTGAGGATGCCACAGCATTTACTAGTCAACCTATAAGACAGCTCCCTATCATATACACATAATCTGATTTTCAAAGTGAATTTGATACTTAAAATTAACAGGCAATTTAAAAAGAAAAAGCAAAACTGTAATTTTCTAGGCAGCCCAGAAGTTTGGGGTTTTAAACCTTTGATTATTGCAACAAATAGACTTCTGTCATCTGGTAGACCTCATATTTTCCATACTTAAATTAACATTCTTTCACATTATTAAAGCGTTTTTTTAATGAAATGACATTTTGGTTTGCATTTTTGTAACAAAATGACACTTCTATTTTTAGTTCGACTATTTCCTGAAAACTGAAGAAATGTCATTTTATTTTACAGAAGCTATTAGGCATCAATTTAAATGACAATGATTTAAGTGTTTTCAAATTAATCGGTTTTCTGCAACAGAGAAAGAACGGAAAGCAGAGGTGTTGAGACGACAATCCTGGAGGCTTCACTGAGGCACTGTCCACTCGACAGTGGAGGTGAGGACCCAGAAGAAACCTGAAAGAAGGATCCAAAAGCCCATCAAGCGGTGAGCTGTCTGTACTGCCTTAACTGACCCCAGTGATGGCGCTCAGCCAGCTTCAGATCGAAAGGGGCACTGAAGCAGAATGCTGCATCGGTTACACGTATATCAGCAAGCAGGTAGAACACTGAGGTTGGAACAGATTCAGTGAGTAAATGAGTGCTGAGGACCAGCACCTGCATGTGTTTTGGAGGTTTTATTTCAAACCAGCCCCGTTTAGGTTGTGTGGACTGAACGCTTATTAGCAGCTGGAGCATGTGCTCTAGTTCAGGAATCCTGTCAGCACATTTGGCACTGCGCTGCAGTGCGAACTAAAGCACAGTAAGCATAAACCACCAGGACATTCACTTCAAAAGTGCATCCCTGAGGTGAGATAAAATGCTAACAGACACACCAGAACGCTTCTCTGGAGCCAGTCTACCCTGCGGAGAGGCAGAGCTTATTAGTTTGAGATTACATTAGTACAGCCGCTCTATTTCTAGCTGGCATCTGTATTCAGCACTGCACGGGACTAGGTGGACACACCAGCCTGCTCAGAGACAGGTCTCTACTTCATTTCTCCAGACAGTATCAGCAAGCCCACTGACAGGCCCACCATATATCGACAGTTCTGAGTCAATCCCAAACCCTTCACTTATGCAACTACAACTGTTATCTTGTTTGAAAATTAATGTTCCTTTCACCCATCTTAAAGAAGATGGTGCCTTTCTACCACCCACGGCATTAAAAATAGAAATCGTGCAATATTCATTACCACATAAGGTATAAATACAGCCTACAGTTTCTACGGTCCTTTACCCCAAGATGGAGCAATACAGAATACAGTAGTCATTTTCTGAGTTTGTATTATCTATAGCATAAAAGATCTTTTTAAACGAATTGTAAGTTACAAAATAATCTTTTTAAATATCTCCCAAACCTGTATAACTGAATCATGAGCACTTGAAATGAGAGTCTGACAATCAGAGGTAAATCGACAATGCTGCACAGATGTCCTGTAGGCCTCCCGGGAGTTCAGAACTTTTCCATCCAACAACTGTAGCACCTTTACAATGAAGAAAGCAATAATTATATTTATTTTACATACTTGAGGAAAAAGAAGAAAAGAACATGCAAATTATTTTTTAAATAACGTGAGATTGTAAATATATGATTCTCAGTTAGTCCTTGGTAAAATGAAATTCAGAGATATGTTATTAGCCCTACCTTTAAATTATTGTCATTTAGGCATCACTCACAAATGCAAAAACTTTAGTGTGCTGTGTTGAAGAATATTATTGTACAAAGTCATTCAAATGATACTTCTTTCAAAAGAAAAAGCACCAAGAAGGGTGTTTTCCTATTATTTTTTAAATCAAATTCAGGATTTAATACCTTTATTGTTCCACTCTCCTGTCCAAAAGCTGCAAATTTAAGATCTTCACTTAAGCAACAGCAGGAAATGGGGAATTCTTGAGCTGCTGTCTGCATAACAACACTGTCTGTATTTCCATTGATAAGCTACAAGATAGGAAGTTAATTAAGTTATTACAATATTTGTAAATTTAAACTTAAATAAATTACAATACAGAGCTAAGAATGCTAAAGAGAACAGCATACCTGTTCAAAACGTTGAATTATAAGGATCAGTTACTTTCATAAACCAATTGCTTTGAAGGTCAGTGTAACTGTCTTTATAGAATGCTCTCTGAACAGGACAATTTTGCAGGAGGAAACATATCTCAGTATTAGAAGGCTTTTTAAAGGTTGTCTGACTACAGAAAACAGTAACTTGAAATGCTACTCCCAAATTTCAAAAGCCATATAGCAAGCTCCATGCTTAAATTTACCTTGCCAGCCAGATTCTACAGCTCATGCCAAATGGAGCATAAAATACCTTAAATATATCCTGTAAGCATGACTTTAAACTTACAAGTACACACAACACGCCAAATCTCAACTCAGTATCACCCTCAAATCAATTCCCGGCGGTGGGGGGGGGGAATAAAATAAAATCTTTGAAATACAATTATTTACAAACAAAGTTTAAGTTTAGAAAGCTACCAGTGTGAAGTGTTTAAAAATTAACACGCTGTACATCAAAAGGTGACTAGGATCCCAATTCGAAGAGATTACAAATTACAAAGGGTAAAACATCACGGTTGCAAGAAAAACTACTTTTAGAGACGTGATAGCAGAGACATGCTGTTAAATTACAGTATACATGCTTAACTGTCTTTTCAGTCCATTTCTCTTCTTGTGCAAGGGTGAAAAATCTATTCTTTTCCTACAATGGATTCTTCTCTCATGACTGCACCTCCACAGGATGTCAGAATATTGTATTCAGGGCAGAAAATCTAAGCACCATCTTTCTCTAAGAAATGGTCCAAGTAAAGTTACAATAGAAATATATTAATCATAAATAAATAGATCACATCTACTTATTCAAATGAGAGCCAGACTACACTATTACACAGTAGTTGCTACAGATTTTAAAATTCTGGCAGATTAAAAAGTAGTTATTATCTTAAACTGCCTCCCACACATAAATAGGTATAATTCCATTCGCTGTGGTTTCTCCCATCTCTACACTGCAATAAATGCAGCTTCTCTTATCTCACATATTATTTGTTCATATAAATTTTAGTTTCCACATTGACTGCTTTCTATTGGCTCAAAGTCAGCAATCTTTTTATTGCCAAGGCCCCATTGGAGACACTTTAGCTATTCTATGTATATCATCACCATTCCACTTAAGGTTTTTTTAATAGGATTTTTAAGTAGAGTAAGAAATGGCTAATTTGTTGACAGGACAGACAAAAGGAGTAGGACAGAAAATAATCAGGAAGAGAGAAACAGGAAGTACAGGGCAAACAAGTGGAAAAGTGTCTGGAAAGGAAGTTCTCATTCTAGCAGCATCCTAGGAAAAACTGAGCATCTCTTAGGACTAGAAAAAAAGGCAATTGTCATGCTGATTAGCCAGGATTATATAGTTTACATGTTTGCCTTCGGCCAAATTAGAAAAAAGGACCTGACCGTACACAAAAAGATTATCTGCATAGTGTCCCTCTGTGCAGCGCAGCAGAATCTATTCCAACACTCATCTACCTACACATTCACCAACATGAATTCATTGCTTTCACAGTCCAGAACAAAGATTCATTCCTACTTAGGAATGAATCCACAGTAACAAGAGTGTATCCACTATTAATATTTTGTTTAGGACATAAAAGACCCGTGCTCTCCTAAGGCTATAGGCAGACCTGGGCTCACACCTTTCACTCCTCCAATTTGAGATGATTCTTTCAGTTATCACACAGCAGTCCTCTTCTCTCTAAATTAGAGAGTCATGGG